GTTCCATGACTGCATAGTCTGCACGCAGGTGCAAAGGACCCTTTAAAAGACAGACCCCGCCCACTTAGGCTTTTCTTTCCTCTCTCTTCTCTTTCTGCTCTTCTCTCTTCCCTCTCTTCCCCTGGGGCAGACAGGACTTTTCCTGTCTCCCTCTTCCCTTCTGTCCTCTCTCTGTCTCTGTGTCTCTTTATCTCTTTTCTCTTTTCTCTTTCCTTCCCCCTCCCTCCCTTTATAATAAAACTTCCCACTCAAGCTCTGTCTGTCTGTCTGTCTGTCATCCTCGCCTGCCATGGATTCCGCCAAGGTCCCCTGTAGGAAAAGAGAAAGCAAATCTCTGTCTCTGTCTCTCCCTCCCTCCCTCCCTCCCTCCCTCCCTCCCTCCCTCCCTCCCTCCCTCTCTCTCTCTCTCTCTCTCTCTCTCTCTCTCTCTCTCTCTCTCTCTCTCTCTCGGAAGCAGGCTACATTTTTGATCTTCCCAGCCTGCCTGTAAGTTCTTTCTCCGGTAAATAAATATATTAGTTTCCATATTGCATTGACCTCCCTCGTCAGCCCCCACTTTATCGTTAACAGAGTGCCCTGTAGATCAGATCGTGTGTCTCTCAGCAGCTCCTCTGTGTGGGGTGGCAGGGCTGAGGGCCTTCCTCAGAGTGGGCACGCTGGGGCAGGGAAGCCGGCGTCATTCAGAAACAGCAGGGTCACTTTAGCTCTGCTGATTAACTCAATGCACGGCCTTGCTGAACTCAGAGCCGCTTACCCTCCTCAGGTGTGGGCAGGGTCACCTGGAGCAGGTTATAAAGAAGCCATTCTGTATAACTTTCCTCTTGCTCCACAGCTCTGTGTAGCTGGGTGGCTGGCCCCTGATGTCCTCCCCCCTCTCCTTCTCCATCTTCTCTTCCCAGATTTCTCCTCCTATTGTTCTCTCTGCCTGCCAGCCCCGCCTATCCTTTCTTCTGCTCACCTATTGGCCGTCCAGCTCTTTATTAGACCTGTTAGGTCTTTTTTTGTTGTTGTTGTTTTGTTTGTTTTTTTTTGTTTTTCGAGACAAGGTTTCTCTGTGGCTTTGGAGGCTGTCCTGGAACTCGCTTTGTAGACCAGGCTGGCCTCGAACTCACAGAGATCCGCCTGCCTCTGCCTCCCAAGTGCTGGGATTAAAGGCATGCGCCACCAACGCCCGGCCCCTATTAGGTCTTTTAGACAGGCCAAGTAACACATCTTCACAGAGTTCAACAAGTGCAAAAGAATGCAACACGTCTTTGCATCATTAAACAAATGTTCCACAGCATAAAAAAATGTAACCCATCCTCAGCTAATATTCCACAAAACATCACACACACACACACACACACACACACACACATCTCTGATTCGATCCCCACATGGAAGTTTCTTGTCATCTGACCGTGGGAGATAGTTTAGAGGAAGCATGGCCAGCGGAGGTGACGGCGGGTGTCAGACAATATGAGACAATCCCTAGGCGAGAGAGATGGACTGATTGAAGCTTGACCCTTCTGTGAGGCCAGGTCTGAAGAGGGCATAGCGGCTGGGGTGAGGGGGGTATCAACCCCTTACAGGGGCCGGGTCAGCCCTTGGGTTCCTTTTGGGAGAGATACCACGAACATTCATTCCATCGTGTTGTCAAACCCAGCCAACCACGCAGACAAGACCTACGGGGTTGGTCATCAGCCGGCCAGGGTTTCTCAAACGAGACTCCCCAAGGGTGGAGATCGGGGACAGCCACCAACACGCCAAACCCCGGAAGCCCAGCCCACACAGTGCACCAGGCTCAGTAGGGTTGAGAACCGGAGAGACAGAGTTGCTGGCGTGGGCAGCACGGCTGGTTCCTTGCAGTGTCAGTTTCTAGTGGCAATCTCACAGCTCCAGACCAGCCTGCCCTGAGGAAGAAGAGGGGGAGCAGCCTGACTGGCTGGCGGGGGCTGCTTCCTTCTGAGGGGAGGCAGGGTTTTCCTGAGCGGCAAAGAGCAATGGAACAGACCCAGCTTTAGTGTTGGGGTGACCTGCGTGGGGCGTCTCGTCTCTTGTTAAGCACAGAAAACCTCTCAACTTCTGTGAGTCTATTTAAAAAAAAAAAAATAGCCCAAGAGCATGCCCACCAAGCTAAAGCGCTCACAAAAGCCACCCTTCCTTCCTTCTTTCCCTCCCGGGGCCCCAGGGACGCCTCCCAGGAAGGCCTGCCCCTGCTTCTGTCCACCAGAGAGGACCGGGAGCAGTTCCCGCGGCTCAGGGCACAGCGTGGGCAGGAAAGACCAGAGCACCTGCCCGCAGGGAGCTGCAGTAGAAGCTGCAGCCCACGCAAACCCTCCGGAGATAAACAAATGACCAGCCACCCTGCTAATCCCACTGCGCTGGTACTGCAGCCTGGCAGCACCTCACCCCCACCCCCACCCCCACCCCACCCCACCACGCCCCACCCCGGGAGTTTTCCATGACCTCAGCTCCGGAGAATGTGGGGGAATTTGGTAAGGGTTAGGGCTGAACAGCTGGGCCTAAAGGGAAGGTCAGGCCGGGCTTTGGAGTTTACTGGGCCAGCGGAGACATGGATCTGTGTCATCAACCTCCTAGGTGGCAAGGCAGGCCCATCAGGTCCCAGGAAGCCGGGCAGATGTGCGAGTGGGCCCCGGTGCACGGGTTTCCACAGGTCGCCTGCGCTGATTGGCAGCTGCCCCGTTCCTGGGCTCACGTAACCCTCTTGTCTGACTTGTTGGCTTACAGGTTGTTCTCCAGGCTTCCTACTGCAGCTGCGGGGCCTGCCTGCTCCCTCCAGGGGCATGCTGCTTAGAGAGGAAGCATGAGGACCCTCAGAGACGCCAAGGGGCAGCCCTGAAGTCAGTCTTGGGGGGGCGGGGCGCGCTGGGGTCTCCAGCAACTGTTTCAACTCTCCCTCCTTCGCCTACGCCTACGTCATTCCCCCACACCCCACCCCACCCCACATTCAAGAGCAGACCTAAGGCCGCCTGTTGAAACAAAGAGAAACATAGGGTGGTTGCTTGAATTAGATCATCAGATAAATAATTTTTTAGTATCAGCACATCCCATACAATATTTGAGATATGTTTAAAAGGGGTTGGCACTTACCAGAATTCACGCTGAATAGGATGCTTGGAAATCCAGTCCGTCCATCCCCCCCACCCTCCATTTTATTTTTAAATTCTATAACTGTCTCTGCTGATCTGTGGGGAGACATTTAGGAGTAAGAGCCCACATCACACATTAATATTCTCTCATTATTACGAAATGAATCCAGGTTTTTAAAACTCTGGAACAATGTTGATGTTTTGGAAACATTCTGCAACATCTTATTAACTACATATTTCATGGTATATAATGACGACTTCCAGGGGAATAATTCCTTTTTCCTTCTCTTTCTCACTTCTGTGTGTTAGGGTGCGTGCCGCTGCCAAATAGAGAGCCATCCTGTCCTTTCCCGGTTGTCAGCGCTGCTGAAGGGAGATGTCCTTTTGTCTCTCTGGTTTTAGGTTTTTGTTATCTTTTGTAAGCATGTCTGTCTGTGTCGCCCAGGTTAGGCCCACACTTCTGGGCTCATGTAATCCTCCTGCCTCTCACCCAAACAGATAGGATTGGAGGAACTTGCCTGATCTTTTTATTGTTGACTCCTGCCACCCCCCCCCGCAAAGTCTGGAGTTAAGAGCAGAATAGCCCAGTGGATGTGGAACACGTGTGGACTTGAGGACCCGTGCTACTACAAAAACCCAACAAACAACAATAACCTACACATCGCCAGCACCAAGACGCCAACAGGGACCCTGCTTCCTCTGGCGAGGCAGGTGCCAGACAGAGGAGCCCTGCAATGACAGATGTCCCTGGAGCAAGCGTAGCCATGAACGAGGCCTCTGTGCTTTATATGGGGAGACTCCAAACCCAGCTCTGCCAGCCAGAGGCAGCGGCAGGGGCTCTCCTCGGGAGGTCATAGGGCTGTGGGAATATTTTCATGTTTTTGGCCTCCTTCTGCTCCTTTCCCAACCTTTTCTCCAAAGGAATAGAAAAAAGTCAGCCGTCCAACCTCTGAGGCCACCGGACGGAGTGTGACCGCAGGGCCCCTTCTGACCAGGCAGAAGTCCCAGGTCTCTGCTTGTGGACCTGTGGCAGGGACACCCCCCAAAGCAGCTCATCTACAAGGGCTTGCCCTGTCAGCCGCATGGTCTCTCCCGGGTCCCCAGGGAAGAAGCTCGAGAAGGATCAGCCTGGCCCTGGCTGTGTGCAGCAGCACCCTGGCAAGGGACCAGCGTGAGGCCCTTCCTGCCCTAGCAGAGAGCCATCTGTGAACACCCAGCGGGTCAGAAGTTCAGGAGCCAGCCCTCTGACGCAGTCTCTCCTCAGCCACCTACGCACGGGCAGCCAGAAGCGCCAGGCCTCAGTGCATTCTCCCGCCCCCTTTCTCTCCCAACCTCCCTTTCAGGGTTCACAAGGCTGCTGTGTGCACAACCACGCCAGCTCAGGGCTCCACCTCGGACGGACATACCACCCAGGGGGCAGCAGGGCAGCGGCTCCACGGTGCTCACCAACCGCCCACGAACAGTGGCTGGGAAGGCTTTGCCATCTGTTCATGAGCCTGCTAAAGCCCCTGTGTCTCTCTGTGCCTTCTCATCTGTGAAGGGAGAGCGGGAGCCACCCCATCTCAAGAACTTGTTGCAAGGCAACTCAGGAGATTAGAAAACTAGGTCAGTGAGATGGCTTCAGAGGGGAAGGACAGGCACCGCCAACTGGGACTGCCCGAGTTCGATCCTTGGGACAAATGATGAAGGCAGAAAAACAGCCCCGAACTCTACACATGCACCCTGCACGAATGGCCAGTGAGTAAATAAGTAAATGATAGAGCCAGGCGTTGGTGGCGCACACCTTTAATCCCAGCACTCGGGAGGCAGAGGATCTCTGAGTTCGAGGCCAGCCTGGTCTACAGAGCAAGTTCCAGGACAGGTTCCAAAAACAATACAGAGAAGCCCTGTCTCAAAAAAACCAAAAAAAAAAAAAAAAAAAAGATACCCCATGGACGTCCGTAATGCTGATGTACCGCTCACAACATACTAATTGAAACTGAGTCGGATAACCCTGGTCAGTGATCCTGCCTCATTTACAATCCGGATAGGAACTCCACAAGCCACTCCCAAGGTACATGTTACAGGGTCAGAAACAATGAAACAAGGCATCGGAGCAGTGTGGCAACAGGTTCTGGTGGTTGGCTGTCCATTCTTAGGGCTTTGAGGCCTGGCTGAGAACTGAAGAGACCTGAGATTTCGTGTTCCAACTCCTTCACTTGGAAACAATAAGCCCACAAGGTCCACAGAGGGATGAGCAACCTCCTGGACAGTCCATCCCCATGGATACCCAGAAGAACCATAGAAGCATCCTGGACAGTCCATCCCCACGGGTACCCAGAGGAGCCTTAGGCATCATGGAGAGATGCATCCTGGACAGTCCATCCTCATGGATACCCAGAGGAGCCTTAGGCATCATAGAGAGATGCATCCTGGACAGCCCATCCCCATGGGTACCCAAAGGAGCCTTAGGTATAGCTGATAGATGCATCCTGAACAGTCCATCCCCATGGATACCCAGAGGAGCCTTAGGCATCATAGAGAGATGCATCCTGGACAGCCCATCCCCATGGGTACCCAGAGGAGCCTTAGGCATCATGGAGAGATGCATCCTGAACAGTCCATCCCCATGGATACCCAGAGGAGCCTTAGGCATCATAGAGAGATGCATCCTGGACAGTCCATCCTCATGGATACCCAGAGGAGCCTTAGGCATCATGGAGAAATGCATCCTGGACAGCCCATCCCCACGGGTACCCAGAGGAGCCTTAGGCATCATGGAGAGATGCATCCCTTGAACATAGGTTCTTACTGCACATTCACAGCCCACTTACTTTGGTTTAACTTCTCTGTGGCAATGGCCTGAAGCAGAAGAGAAGGCTGTCTAGGTGTGTAGTCTGACTAGAGACCTTCTCTCAGGTGGACTCTGAACAAGCACGTGCATACATGAGAGCGAAAGACAGGAACAGACGACAGACAGACAGGCAGACACTGGGGAGATTGGGGGGAGTGGACACTAGAAGTCCCAGCCCAGAGGCAGGCAGAAGTGCCCATGCCCTGCAAGAGAAGCTTTTTGCTGGCCTCTCCCTGTTTTCCTGTGAAGACCAGCTCTTAGCAAGGACAGACACCGTCCAGATGGGTCACTGGGAGTCCACAAGCCCCGCCCACCAGGATTCAAACCACAGGCCACACCCAGGCCTGGCTGGGAATGGCATCTCTCATGTTAGGAAATATGAACCTCCAGGATCCCATATGGGTCTGGGAGTGCCCTCACAGAGAGCCCTTTGTGCCTGGGAGAGGGGTGGCCTGTTTATTCTGGCAGCTGTCCAGACATTGCCTACCTCCATTCACCGGGGCGCCCCACCTTCCCTCTGCGTTTGGCCCCTCCCTTCCTCCCAGGACACCAGCGACTCTACCAAGGGCAGGAACTCAGGAGGAGGAGGAGGCCTAGCTCTGAGGGAACCGTGACCCCGGAGAGCCTTAGGCTTAGAGGCTGAGATGACTTCAGGGCCTGCTGTCAGAAAGAGACAGGGCTCAGGGGACAGTCTCAGGATGAGGGAGCATGGAGTAGAAACAAGGAATATCCTCAGGGCTGGAATGGAGTTGCTCCGTGGCTACCAACACCTTCCAGTTCCTTCTGCCTGGGAAGAGGGTGGGATACGGCGCCATCTGGCTTGTTGCTGGGAGACACCGTCTCTAAAGGTCCACGATTATAGTTGCAACTGCTCTTGTTTCTTTTAAAAATGAAGCTAAAAAGCCCACAGGAATCTCACGCTCCTCAGTCTTCCTCCCCCTGCTGTCGGCTCCTATTATGAATCCACGACATCTGCTGGGAGTTAATTATGCGTTGTGTGAAGGGTGCAGACCTCCCTTTAACGGATTTCCCGTCTGGGTGAGTGCTAACCCCTCTAACCCCTCGGCTCCTTCCCCGGCCCCCCATCCCCCAACAGGGAAAAGATGTGCCTGACCTCCAGCCCTCTGCTGCCTGAAGTCTGCCTCTCCCTCCCTGCTGCATGCCAGGGGCTGCCTGCTGCTGAGCCAGAGGCCTCTTCCCTGGCCAGACCTCATTTCCCACCCCTAGGAGACTCCAGCTCTGCCAGTGCGGGGACCAGGGCCAAGCACAAACCGGCAGTAGTCACCTACAAGCACCCGGCACTAGGCCCGCCACAGGCTAGTGTTCATACTCTCAAGGAGAGAAAGGGAGTAAAGATGGCTTCCTGAAGGCCCAGTAATGGAATGTGACATGTGACCCTTTCTTCCAGGAGGGTCCAAGTGGAGCTTCACACAGTTCCTGTGCTTTTTTTTTACATTCCCCCCCCCATGTGTATCCAGACATAGCCATTCCCAGGATGGCTCAGTTTTTCTCCTAAGAAGCTATGAGCAGGAAATAGTGTGGGGTAATACCCTGAACCATTGCCCTCTGCGGTGTCGAATTTCACTGACTTAGGAGACAGCTAATTGTGCACTGTTGGGACATCTCAGAGCTTGTCACACAGGCTGCTCTGGGTCTTGACAAGTCACAGCTTCTCAGAACTGCACGGTCCTTCTAAGCCACCCCTTTCCAGAGTCAGGGTGCAGCTGATAAAGTGAAGGCTCCTATGTCCTGGGTATCATTTCCCTAGGCCACTCAGTAAAGAGAATCTCAAGGTTGACTAAAAGTAATCGTGTCGTAGCTTAATCTAAGCATTTGGATGGCTGAGCCTGGGGGATCACACATTTGAGGCCAACTTAGCTTGGGCAATTTAGCAAGTTCTTATTTAGAGAGAGAGAGGGGGGGAGGGAGAGAGAGGGAGAGAGAGAAGGAGAGAGAGAGAGAGAGGGAGAGAGAGAGAGAAGGAGAGAGAGAGAGAGGGAGGGAGGAAACCAGGTACCAGGGAGATGGCTCTGCATCAGGGAACGATGCTTGCCACACAGTCCTGGGACCTGAGTTCCATTCCTGAACCCACATGAAGGTGTTAGGAAGGAAAGAAGCAACTCCAAGAAGGGCGTTGGTGGCGCACGCCTTTAATCCCAGCACTCAGGAGGCAGAGGCAAGTGGATCTCCGTGAGTTCAAGGCCAGCCTGGCCTACAGAGTTCCAGGATAGCTAGGGCTACACAGAAACCCTGTCTTGAACCGTCCCTCCCAAAAAGAAGCAACTCCAACAACAACTCCACAATCACACACACACACACACACACACACACACACACACAAATAATAACAACAATAATGAAGAAGTTTTAGTAATGTTAAAGCCTGGCGTAGGAGTGCATGCCTATAATCTTAGTGTTCAGAGGCTGTGGCAAGAAAATTGCCATGAGTTCGAGGCCAGCCTGGACTAACTAGTGGAGTGCCAAACCGGAATATGTAGTGTGACCCCATTTAAAGAAAGTAACGATGGCATCTGTAGCTGTTAACTACCTGTATACAGATCACTGCTCACCTTTTTATAAGAAGAGTAATTATGTTAATCCCAGCACTCGGGAGGCAGAGGCAGGCGGATCTCATGAGTTCGAGGCCAGCCTGGTCTACAGAGCGAGTTCCAGGACAGCCTCCAAAACAATACAGAGAAACCCTGTCTCCAAAAAAAAAAAAAAAAAAAAGAAGAGTAATTCCTCTGGTTATTTGCTTTCTGTCTTCAAAGTGCAGGCTGGATATTGGAAGAATTCTAGGATGAAGAAGAGTGGTGCTCAGTGGCAGGGTGCCCGGCTGTCATGTGCGAGGCCCTGATTTGACACCCGAGGAGGAAGGGGTTGGACACAGTGAATGAGACACAGGAGCCTCCCCCAGCATTTGGGCAGAACTAGAGGGTATACACAGTGGGGGACACGTGACTGGCCAGTGTGTTGGGTACAGCCTTTCACAAGGGGGCTACAGTCCCATTCTTTCTCTTTCTGGTGGGTGTCTTCCTATTAAGCTAACTACTCTCTGTGTGGGTTCATGCACCTTCGCATATACACAGGGGGGGCAGAGAGGATGCCAGGTGCCCAGCGCTGTCCTCTCTGCCATGTCCCCTTGTGAAGGGTCTCTCAGTGGCTCTGCAGCGGAGCTGGAAGCCAGCTATCCCCACCTCCTATCTCTACCTCCTGGGAAAAGCTAGGGTCACCTCTGCAGGCAACTGAGACAGAGTCTCTCTGTGTAGCCCTGAACTCACTTGGTAGACCAGGCCGGCCTTAAGCTCACAGAGATCCGCCTGGCTCTGCCTCTCGAGTGCTGGGATTAAAGGCGTGCGCCCCCGCTGCCTGCCTGACACCCTGCTTTTTACATGGGTTCTGGGGGCACAAGATCTGTTCCTTGTAAGTGAAAAAGCAAGTCCCGTAATCCGGTGAACTGTCATCTCTCTGGCCTCCCCCCCCCTTTTTTTATTTTTGGAGACAAAGTCTGACTGTGTATTGCATGCTGAGTGGCCTGAATGTCACCTCACTAATTAGCCTAGGCTCATTAAGTAACCGTGATCTTTCTGTGATCTTCCCAACTCCGCCTCCCAAGCTCTAAGATTACAGGTGGCAACCATCACGCGTATTGTCCGTGGTGTGGCATCTGCAGTTCAAATGTACAAAGACCTGTTAAAATGCTAACACCTGTGCCTAGAGTGGTGTCATGGGCCTGTGATCCCAGCACTTGGTTGGTGAAGTAGGGGGAATCAGGAGTTTTAGGCATGCCTGAGCTACACAGTAAGTCTCAAGATAAATGAATAAACAATGGAGGAATGGAAGCTCACCAATCTGGGGGGACTCTGTGGTATGTATCTTTAAGAGGCATCATGGGAAATTCTGAACAAGTGGCCACACTGTTCCACGTGGATCCAAACTGCAGCTAAAACAGGAATCGACTGGACAAACCACAGTTGCTTTCCCGGAATGTATGCTCTAAGAAATTATTTATATTTCTATTTTAAAAATAGCACTAATTTCTCCTGCCTTCATTATAATTAATGTAGCCAGCTTAGAAGGTGCCATAATAAAACACTTGTGACCCTTCACCGAGGGAGGGAGAGATGGTTGGTAACTTTATGCTGTTCCTTCCTTACGTATTTTTAAATAATGTTGACAACACACTTATGATTTGATATCAGTGTCTCTTGTATTTTTTTAACTAAGTCTCTCTGAGGTCTGCACAATGTCTCCATTAAATGGGTATGCCTTACTTTTATAATCCTTCCCTAGTAGGAAATTGAAGTTCTTCTCAATAATTGAACAATAACCAGATGAAACATCTCTGTGCATAGCCCATTATCAACTCTTTGTTAGTGTGTTTGTGTTTGTTTTGTTTTTTGAGACATGGTCCCAAGTAGCCCAGAGTAGCCTAGAACTTTCTGAAAATGCCCTGAAATTCCTGACAGTCCTGCCTTTACCTCCCAAGGCCTGGGTTACACCATTTTGGGGATTGAAGCCAATGCTTCGGACACATTAGACAAGCACTCTACCAACTGAGGTACAGCTCTAACCCTGTCTGTTCATTCTCTGTGATAGTTTCAACTAGCCCAGGCTAGTCTTGAACCCACTATATAACGGAGGCTGACACTGAACTCCTGATCCTTCTGCCTCTGCCTCGTGAGGCCTGGAATTACAAGTCATATGCCATCGTGTCCACCCTGTTTTACCAACTTATTTTGTTGTTGTTGTTGTTGTTTGGTTTTTCAAGACAGGGTTTCTCTGTACTGTCTTAGAGGCTGTCCTGGAACTCACTCTGTAGACCAGGCTGGCCTTGAACTCACAGAGATCTGCATGCCTCTGCCTCTGGAGTGCTGGGATTTAAGGCGTGTGCCACCAATGCCTGGCTCAAACTTATTTTGTAAAATTAATTTTTTTTACAAGAGTCAAAAACTGAACCCGGGGCATTGAACATGCTAGGCTAGTCATGATCAACATTTCTTTTTTGCTTCATTTAGATGGAAATGGACCATTGGATCCATTGAATGTGGGCTAGGGACATAACTCAGAGGTAGAATGCTTGCCTAATATGTACAAGGTCCTAGGTTTGATTCCCCAGCACTGAAAGGGAGAGGTATTTTAGAGGCTCCTAGTAGACATGCCACCAACTTCCTGCCTCGTTTGTGGCTTGACCCTCATCTGCATGGAGCGGAATGAATACCGGGGTGTGCCACAGTCATCCCACAACCCTTTTAAGGCCTGATAAAGGATTTCACTTTTGTAGGCAGCAGCAGAAGTCCTAAGTGGATGTTTTGTTGACATAGCACAGCCATGTCAAGGACCCTACAGCCTCCGGGTCAGAAGGATGGCGAAGTCCAAGTGTTGACGATGTGCACAGGAAATGGCCACCATGCCCCACCACATATTTGGCCTGAAGACTGATGTCTTAGAGACTTCTCCTACCAGGAGTAGCCGGCCCCGCCTCCTTAAGCCAGCGGTATACCACACATCCTCTCTCTTTGTTTATCTAAGACAATTCCGCCTTCTTGCCCAGCTGTATACCATAACTGACTCCCAGTCCAACCATGTATAATAAACACATTGAGGCCAGACCACCGATCTCAGCTTTCTGTGTGTGTGTGTGTGTGTCTGTCTGTCTTTTCTTCATTCCCTTGCTGCCCAATCAGGTCTGGCCCTGGAACATCAGGTTGTTCTAAGTCCCCCTATTCATTACATGTAGGTATATCTCACAGGACAAAAAGACACACAAATCCACAAACTCGGTATTTTCTTTAAACTCTTGCATTAGACACAATAGAACATTAGGCTGTTACAGCCCCTCATACATCAAAGCCTTCTTTTAGTGGCTCTTGGATACCTTGTATCTGTGAGGGCCACTGTCACCTGTGTGATCAGGTGTTAGTCTGATGGGTCTAGTCTCCAGGTTAGTCTTTGGCTAGCAACATTGAGTGGGATGACAGGCTGTGCCATTTTTAAAGCCTCACTTCTCCTAAAATGCTGGTCTCCTAATGATGCCTTCACAAAGGTTGCTCCATGTGGTGAGCCTTCTATCATGAACAAACTTAAACCTGAAGACACTCCTCCTCTATGGCCTTTCTTGGCATGCATGGGACTCTGAGTTTGATCCACAGAACACCAAATTTAAAAAAAGAACCAGTTGAGGTAGAAAGATCCATCCTAAAAATGGATGGTAGCATTCCCTGTTTTAGTGTTGTACTGAGTACCAAGAGACACAGCCAAACACAGAGCCAATTACCGACTAAAGATACAATGTAACCAGCTGATACCCAGCTATGGATACAATGTAACCAGCTGTGGCTAGACCATAGATACAATGTAACCAGCCACACAGAAGACCACAGAAGGATACAATGTAACTAGCTGACATAGATACAATGTAACCAGCCACACAGAAGACTACAGAAGGATACAATGTAACTAGCTGCTTCTGGAGTATGGATACAAGTCCCCAGCTGCTTCTGGATCATGGATACAAAGTAACCAGCTGCTTCACGCCTTCCCAACCATGACATACTACATCCTAGAGCTGCAAGCCAAAATAAGCCTTTTCTCCCTTCAATTTCTTTTGTCGGGCATTTGTTTTCCTGTTTGTTTTCCTGTTTGTTTTTCAAGATAGGGTTTCTCTACATAGCCTTGGCTGGCCTGAAACTCACTTTGTAGACCAGGCTGGCCTGGAAACTCACAGAGATCCACCTGCTTCTGCCTCCTGAGAGCTGGGATCAAAGGTGTGGGCCACCACCACCGGCCTGGCTTGTCAGGATATTTTTTTTTAACAGCAATGAGACAAGCAATGAATGGAGACACTGAGGATGACCTTGGATCCCTGTACCACCTCTGCTGTGGAATAACCCTTCTGTATTCTGAAGATGTATTACTCCCATTGCTTAATAAAGAAACTGATTGGCCTGTAGCAAAGCAGGATAAAGCTAGGCAGGACAGTCAAACTGAGGATGCTGGGATGAGGAAGCGCAGGCAGAGTGGGAGACACCAGCCAACCACCAAGGAAGCACGGCTTGTACAAAATTAGGTAACAAGCCATGAGCCTTGTGGCAAAGTATAGCTAAGAAATATGGGTTAATTTAAGTGTAAGAGTTAGCTAGTAACAAGCCTGAGCTATTGGCTGGGCACTTTTAAGTAATATTAAGCATCTGAGTGGTTATTTGGGAACTGGATGGCAGGAGAGAAATGTACTTCCTCTTTTGCCTCCCAAGTGCTGAGATGATAGACATATACCACCAAGCCTGGCTTATATTGTGCTGGGATCAAATCTAAAGATTCCTGTGTGTAAGCAAACATTTCACCAAGTGAGCTATAACCCTGTCCTGCCTCATGGGCAGCTTTTAAGCAATTCTTAACTAAGTTGTCCACTTGGTATGACTGACCTTTTCTGGTTCTCCTAGAGCTCTTACTAGGTAGCCTGAGATAATACATATTTAGGCTCAGTGGCTAAAAGCATTGGCTGTTCTTCCAGAGGACTCAGGATTTGATTCCCAGAACCTACATGGCATTTAATAGTCATCTGTAACTCCTGTCTCAGGGGAACTAATGCCCTCTTCTGGTCTCCACAGGCACCAGGCATGTAGTGGTGTACAGAGATATGTCAGCAAAATACCTGTATACATGAAAAATATTTCTTTAAAAAATACATAGCCAGGCGTTGGTGGCACACGCCTTTAATCCCAGCACTTGGGAGGCAGAGGCAGGCGGATCTCTGTGAGTTCGAGGCCAGCTTGGTCTACAAGAGCTAGTTCCAGGACAGCCTCCAAAGCCACAGAGAAACCCTGTCTCGAAAAACCAAAAAAAAAAAAAAAAAAAAAAGATCTTCAGGGAGAGTTTTGGGATGGGAAACAGCCCCAGTCTCGATTTTCTGGACGTAGACAGACACCTGACCTTTACCAAGGCCAGTGCAACACTCAGGTGACTGAGACTCACCTCTGCTCCTGAACCAGTCCTAGCTTCACAGCCAGCAGGGACCAAGCACCTGCTGGCTGCCTCGGATTCAACCAAGACAAGAAGGTGCCAAGGCACTGCTGCTTCAATCTGATTGGCTGCTGGGGCCCCCCAGTCAAGGCTTGGAGAATGCTGGGCTGTGTGATCAGACAAGGGAGAGCTGGGGGTGTTAGAAGCCAAGATAAGGCTGCCTTGTACACTGTACAGCAAACAGGAAATCCTGTCAGACACAAAGGATGCTTCCAAGGCCAGCAATGGAGGCAGGCAGAGCTGCCAGCAAACTCACTTCGCCCAGGAGGTCCTGCAGGAGTAAACTGCACAGATTTAGCTCTGGTTTCCTAGGGCTTCTGGGTACAAGGGAACACGGAACACAGCAGGGCAAGCGGGGCGTATCAGGGGTCACGGTAGAGGCACCAGCAAACAGCTCTACACAGAGCAAGCAGGCAGGTGTCCCCTGGCTGGGCCCAAGACGGAAGTGGGAGAAACCCTTTTTCCAGAGAGCTTGGATTCTAAGCCTGGATAATGTAGCAGCTACAAGCCGCGGAGTCTGTGGTGGAAGCTCCAAGGCGAACACACACTGGTACAGCCCACAGCACTCCCTGAAGGGCACCCACACGGGCCGAGGGCCTTGACCACCACCACCTTCGATACCCACATCCTTGCCCACTGTGTCTTCCTCTAACTTCACGGGGTTCTGCGTCAGCAAATTAGACCCCTTGGTTTCCCAAGAGCTGCCATTCTTTTTTTTTTTTTTTCGAGACAGGGTTTCTCTGTGGCTTTGGAGGCTATCCTGGAACTCGCTTGGTAATCCAGGCTGGTCTCGAATTTACAGAGATCCACTTGCCTCTGCCTCCCGAGTGCTGGGATTAAAGGCGTGCACCACCAACACCCGGCGAGCTGCCATTCTTAATTAACTCTTCTGCAAGGCGGGGGTGGGGGGGTGGGGGGAGCACAGGGCTTCCCAGAAGCCGGCTTCAGTGCTATTTCCAGCTGGAGTGGACTGGCAGAAATGAGCCATCCCCCCCTTGGAAAAGGGCTCCCCAAATGCGGAAGGGGCACTCTTCTTCTGCCTAGATGAGGCTCACACAGGGCAAGGAGACGCTCACGTGGTCCCTGTCAGACGCTGACAGGACAGATCCAGGCCCAGCCCAGCCGTTGTTCTGCTCCCGCCTAAGGCCAGACACAGACACCTCCCAACCCGACTGGCATCAGCGGTGGCTCTGGGAAGAGCCGCAGCCAAATCCAGGAAAGGGGCCCAGGACGAACTCCAGCTGGAGGCTCACAGCCTTACTCATCCTGGGGTCACGGCCGGGTCAAAGAAATGCCCGTGTGGGAAGGAGAAAAGCAGACACCTGTAGACATTTGCGCCCTCCTGTGTCCTGTAGCCTGTTTGACCTGGTATGGGAAAACTCCCAGAGCCAAAGAAGTTTCCAGAAGTCACGAAGTTCCCTCATGGTAGATGTTTCTTACGTCTTTTTGTTTGTTTGTTTGGTTTTGAACTGTTGCTTTTGCGACTGGAGAACAAAGCCAGACGTTGTAGCCTTACAAAGCGTGCCAGAGAGGTGTTCTACCATTAACAACATCTTCAATCAGAGTTCAGACTTTGCTCTCCTTGGGTCTCCTGGAAACAGAGCCGCCTCTCGGACTGGTTACTGGGCAGACTCCGAGGCAGTTTTCCAAAGCACCCAGATGCCTGGCCTTGCTTCACAGAGGAATATTCTACAATATGTGGGGCTTGGTAAGAGATTCAATCCCCCCACCCCACCCCCAACACACACACCTAAGAACTAGAACTTCTGGAAACCTGCTTCGGGAAGAAGAATTACGTCCTCCAGTGATACGTGAGATATTCTCGGAATTCTTTTTTTTTTTTTTTATGCCTTTCTTCATACCATTATCGCCCAGTTTCATAGGAAGTCACCTGCCGGCCATTTACTAGGGCTCTGTTAACTCTTATCTCCGAATACACATCTGTAGCTGAGTGAGGCGAGGGTGCCTCTTCATTTCCCCACCCCAAGTTGAGTGCAGGGTCCGGGGCTGACTGAGAGAGTAAGGTGACAACGTCTGAGTCCATCCGGTCTGATCCCAACCAAGTCAGGCCCGACCCCTGCAGTAGGGCTTAATCAAAGCTGCCCCCATCAAAGGGGCTGCAGGCTCGGTCTCAGCCACAAACGTCTGGCTCCTGGTTGGTACCCGGAGACTGAGAGAGGTCTCTAGGGAGGTGCATTTCCTGCTTCTAGAAACTTGGCCTGGGGCCTTTCCCAGCAAGGGCCTCGCCTTTCCTCTCCTCCCGCCCTCGGGGCGGGTCCAGCCTTGCCACCCAGCGCGGGCTGCAGCACGTGGCTGGGGGTTGGGGGATGGGTGGCTTCCAGGGCGCGCAGCTACCCCGCAGGGTGGCCACGGCCCTCCCTTCTCCCTCGCCCTCGTGACTTCTGGTAAAAGCCCGGCTCGTCCCCACCCACCTCCGCCCTCCACCGCAGCCCTAGGGCCGCGCCTCCTCGGGAGGGAGGCTGAGCCGTCTCCCGCCCCTGGCAGCCGGCTGCGCTTCGGAAACTGTTGACTCAGAGGGTGGCCCAGCGGCCAGCGCCTGATGTCAGCCTGGAGCCCGGCCGCTGCGCTGCGGGGAGGCGAAGGGGAGGCTGGGCGGGTGCGGGCGAGCGGGGCGGGTGCGGGCGAGCAGCCCGGTGGGCGCCGCGGGGGACGGGGGGGCTGCGGCTGCCCCGGCGCCCGTGACTCACGGTGCGTCACCGAGCAGATACCGGAGGCTCCCGGCTGTTGCTGACTCATGAGAAAGCTGTGAGCAGCCCGGGTGGTTTCGGGGCGCCCCGAGCCGGAAAACCCCCAAGAGGAGGAGGCTGGGGCGCGGGAAGCCGCACGGCTGGCAGCTGTTAGGGCCACCTGCAGCGCGGCCGCCTGCGAGCGACCGTGGGCTGCAACATCCCCCACCCCTGCCCACCCTCCGTGGTTTCCTGTGCCCCCCCCACCACACCACACCCCCGGGCAGGGTCAGCCTGCAGCCGAGCATGCGAGTTCCCTCCCTGGTGTAGCAGGGCTGTTCCTAGGCGTCCACAGTGGCAGGGGTGTTACCTGAGGTCACCCATGTTTGCTCTCCGTCCCCCCCCCCCGCCCCCAGGTCTGTCTGGGAAGAGCAGGGCGCGCATCACGGACTGGGTTCTTTCCTTCCCGCCCTCTCTAGGGAACTACGCTGCGGCTCTGGACGCCACTGGCTGGACCGAAGCTTGGCTCCAGATCTTTCCTGTCACTGAAGGCTGACCGCAAGGCCCCCGCGGCACTCAGGAAATGCAGCCAGGGGTCAGAGAATTCTCAGAAAGGGGTGTGGATCCGGAGGAGTTGTCTGGGTGGTGTCCTCCCTGTCCTAAACAGGGACAAATTCTCTAACGTTAAAGATATGTTGAGGCCCCTCCGTGCTAGGCTTTCTGCCCCAGGTAGGACAATACTGCGAGATCTGATGAGGCCTCGCGGGCGCGCGGTTACAGTCTAACGTGCACCGCAGACAGTCCCGGGAAGGGGCAGGGTGGGTATGGAAAACAGTCGCAGTAACCCCAGTGGCCTGGCATTAGGGTGGGGACATTGGCAGGAAGGGCTTGGACAGATGGGAAAGAGTATTCCAAACAGCTCCAGGGCAGCCCTAGAGGCCCCGGGCACCGTAGGGTTAAGTTCTATAAACAGTGATCGGTCCCACATGCTTGGGAAGATTTCCCAGTGCAGGGTTGTGGCGCTCAGAAGCAGGCCCAGTGGCCCAGTGGGCCCTGGAGGAGTCTGTGGTGCCCACTGTTCCCGGCATGCAGACACGTCCATGCCCAGACACAGGGCCTTCCAAGAGTCCCACAGTCCCGCTCGGCCGCAGCTGCAGGAAGCAGCCTCGACCTTGGATGCCTTTTTATGATTTTGGTGCCTAGTGCAGAACCTTTGTAGTCCAGATTTCCAGTTCTTTTCCTAGTCTGTCCCTCGGTCACCGTACTGGCCTACACCAGCTCTTCTTACCCCGCTAGCACTGTGGGAATTCCTGGGGGCGCTTTTGAAAACGACGGAAGGCGTTTATGAGAGTCCCCCTCCTGGAAATGCGGTTCAGCAGAACCAGACTTGAGAGGGTCACCAGCCAGGCTGTCTGGAGGAGCCCCAGACTCAGAGCAGGGCCCTCAGAGTCCTCGTCTCTGATAGGCTGGGAAGGGTGCTGGCGAGCCAATAGGAGGGAGCCGTTGTCTTGGGCTCTGTCTTCCAGGCATCCACCAGACAGCAGAGGTCAAAGGTTCCAACCGGAAGCAGGGCAAGAACCAGATGACTTTTCTAGCCGGTGATAACAACCATGAGCCTCCTTAGCGGGGTGGTTAATCCCCCAAGGCAATGGCAGCCTTGTCACAACACCCCCAGGCATACCTGGCAAGGCGCCAAAGGCGTAGTTAAGGACAGGGGGCGGGGGGGGCGTTTAAGAAAGACCCTGAAGTCACATCTAAGGCCTTCTAGTTAGGCTGCTGCAAGGGAGATGACACCAGTTACCAAGTGGGTGACCAGATGTTCTCTCCAAGCAGCCTAAGGAGCACTGTAGGACTCGCGGGGTGGGGGGTGAGGAGGGGTCTACAGAAGGAGGGGGTTTTCTCACGAGCCCCAGATCTGGTCACTGTCAAGCAGTGTAGTTTCCATTTGTCATCGGAGGAGACCGGCTTTGTTTCCTCCTGGAGCAGCGAGTGGTTCTGGAATCTGAAGGGCCAGCATTAAGAGAAACCGGACAACTTCTGTGTGACCTTTGGCTGCAAGGTTTTGGAACTTTCTGTTTTTGCTGTGCACGCCTGGGACTGCAGGTCTCTAATCCTAGGGGTTTGGGTGTTAAACGCTAGAAAGTCTGGTTGAAAAGCAGCCAACTCACAGCAGACTGTTTCCTGAGGGCGGGGGTAGGGCAAATGTCAAGGTCCTGGGGGGGGGGGCGCAGAAGTGGCACCGCTTGCGTAATCAGCCTGGAACTGACTTCCTCGGAAACTCACTGGGATTGCCTCCAGGACCCTTTCCATGAAGCGCCAACGGCTCTGTGGACGGATTTGCAGGTCGGGGTGGGAGCTCGGGCAGGGTGCTCCACGTTCTCATCTTGTGGATGAGGAAATTGAGGAGGGGGAGAGCCTCCCCGCCCCCGCCCCGTGGCTAACTTGTGATCCTACTGCAATGCATGGAGTCTATCCACTCCAACGCAAGAACTCAGTCTACTCCAATGCAAGAATTCTTATTCGTCCTCCGGTGACAGCGGGCGGGACCGGTGGCTTCGCTCCCATCCCAGGCTCTGAACCAAAGGATCGAGCTTGGCACGCACACACACAACACAGATTCATACACATAGAGACACACATGCATGCACACACAGACACACACGGCAGGGAGCTCACACACACAGACTCATACACACAGACGCGCGCGCGCGCACATATACACGGCAGGGAGTTCACACACACTCGCATGCACACACAGAGACTCATACACACACACGCGTGCACACACACACACACACACACACACACACACACACACACACAGAGCCGGGAGCTGGGGCGCCCGTTTCCCTTCCCCTCCCCGGGGAACGCGAACTGCTCCGGGTGCCCCAAAGCCCAGCCTCCGCTGCCACTCCCGCCCGTTCCTGGCGCGCCGGAGTCTCGGCGGTCACGTCTCCCCATCCGGCTCCAAAGTGCGAGCCAGCTGCGGCCGGGCCAGCCCGTGGGAAGGCAGCGCCGGGGGGCGGGCACAGGAGTGGTCCCAGCCCCGCCGCGCCCGGGTCGGCAGGGGAGAGGTCCCCGCTGGGCAGGCAACGCCCCAGCTTGGCTCTACCAGGGCGGGGCCGGGGAAGCCTCCTGGCCGCGCCCCCGAGCGCCTCGCGGGCCCCTGTTGCTGGGGAGAAATGCTCGCCCGGCCCCGCCCCGAGCCCGGGGGCGCAGCGCCCTCTGCTGGAGAGATCTCGGAGCTACGCAGAGACCCCGCCCCGACCCAAGCGGAGGTTTCATTTAATATCACCATCCTCCTAGGGAAAAAGAAAAAAGACGACCGAACTGGAAAAAACGAGCCGTGTGCGTTGCAGGGCGTTTCGAAATGTGAAGAAAGAAGTCATACTGGCTTTTTTTTTCTAGAAAAATTTGCAAATTTTGGACGTATGCTTTTGTTTTTACACAGGGGGAGTCTTGTGATGTAGGCCAGGCTGGCGTTGAACTCAAGATCACTCTGCCTCCGCGGCTGAGGCTGTGATTACAGTTTGTCATCGCACACTCCTAGATGATTTCTTTGACTTTATTCTGACGGTGTGGATGCTCAAAAAACAAAACATTGGGACGGGCGTTGGTGGCACACGCCTTTAATCCCAGCACTCGGGAGGCAGAGGCAGGCGGATCTCTGTGAGTTCGAGGCCAGCCTGGTCTACAGAGCGAGTTCCAGGACAGCCTCCAAAGCCACAGAGAAACCCTGTCTCGAAAAAACAAAAAACAAACAAACAAAAAAAAAACCATTGTTTCTGTAGAAATGGGGGATAGACTCCTACCTAGCTGAGGCCACATTTTTACCATACTGAACGTTTCCTGCGTGGTTCCCTGCTCCCTGGTTGTGAGTACCTAAGGGGCTCACAGTAAAAGGGCCCGGCCCACTAGCGAGCGCCGTTAACTAGAATTCGGAGGCCAGATGGATTTGGGATGGAGGAATGCTCACAGTGGCCATCAGCTGACCTGTCCCCTAGAGGGGACAACACCCTGGAATCAGGCAGGCCCAGTCTCCACAGCAGAAAGCATGTCGGTTCACACTGAGTAGGACAAGCAGGTGTCGCAACCAGCTGCGTGTCTGGTAAGAGCAAACGGGCTCTCACAAGAGAGGAAAAGTCTTCCCGTCGAGTGTTTTCTGCAGCCCGGAGCTGGAGGTCGGGACGGGTGGGTGCACTAACCCCCGAGCCCACGGAGAGGCTGACGCGGTGAGCGAGTCTGTTCGACTTGTCTGGTATTTTAGTAATCCAGTGCTGCCCGCTGGTTAGATGTTTCTGAAGGGCAGGGTTTGGTTAGACTTCGGGAATGTGGCCTCCACCCCAGCCTACGCCCTTCAAGCCAGTATACCAACACCGAGAGGTTTTTCCTTCTAGGTCCACTTCTAGGACCAGCCTTGTCCCTGGAGACCCCACCTGGGGCTTTTGAGGGAAAGCAGAGGTACGACGTGACTTTCCCTGAACTGACCGTCAACTTGGGGACAGGGACTTCCAGTTCAGTCCCAGCCTGATCTCTCCAAGTCCTGAAACCAAACCACCCAATGTCTTCAGTGATAGGTTCACCACCCAGGACTGGGGTGCAACCCGCAACAGCAGCGGTATCCGATACTGTTTGGGAGCCTTGGGGGGGCTTACCGGGCCAACAGTTTATCCATCCCCTGCACTGGGATTGCCCTCGTCCTCTCTCTCTCTCTCTCTCTCTCTCTCTCTCTCTCTCTCTCTCTCTCTCTCTCTCTCTCTCTCTCTCTCTCTCTCTCAGGCAGGGTTTCTCTGTATTGTTGTGAAAAACCTCGGCATCAAAGCGCCGGGTACTGAACCGAACCCTCTGCCCAAGAACCGGGGCCAGACCACTGGCTGCAAATGCAAGAGGTGATTTATTGAGTACACAGGCGCCTGCTGATGCTACTGCAACTCGGGTGCACAGAATACCGGGCTTGCAGAGAGTACAATATTTATAGAGTTTTAATGGTTACATAAGTAACAGGCATTTCATTGGCTCATCTTGGGGGCAGGGGCAGTTCCCACGGACTAAGTTTCCTGGTATTACTTTATGAAAGACCCTGGCACGCTTCAGCAATTATTATCCGGGTCCCATGACTACTATGGTGATCATAGACACAACTGGGGGCAAGGGTAGTTGCCAAGGACTAGGTGTCCTGGTATTGTCATATGAAAGTTCCCAGCACGCTTCAGCAATTATTATCTGGGTCCCATGATTGCTATAGTGATCAGACACAATTGGGGGCCAGGGTAGTTGCCAAGGACTAGGTTTTCTAGTATTGTCATATGAAAGTTCCCAGCACGCTTCAGCAATTATTATCCGGGTCCCATGACTGCTATAGTGATCACAGACATCCTGTTTTGAGGGTGAGACACCTGGTCTGGGTTTCTTTCATTAGGCAACGGCCTGGCCTTACTTTTCTTTTCCTAGGGGGTCCTGGGTAGGAGTCTTTCAGTTGTATTGTTTTGGAGGCTGTCCTAGAACTCACTCTTGTAGACCAGCCTGGCCTCGAACTCACAGAGATCCGCCTGCCTCTGCCTCCCGAGTACTGGGATTAAAGGCGTGTGCCGCCGACGCCCGGGATTGCCATTTCTTAGCCGTATGTGTGCGCCACCCTCCCATTCGCTCAGGGTGCCCTGGGCATTTAAACACCTTACAAATTTAGAGATGGGATTTTTTTCTCAGTTCCCAAGCACTCTACCCCCCCCCCGCCGCTGCCGCCCCTTAACCAAGAGCTGTGTCTGACCTCGCACCCTGGACCACCAAATGACTTCCCATCTTACTCCTTTGGGTGCCTTCAGCTGTTTTCCTATAGCTGTAACGCGCTTAGACGTGGTGTCATGTCATCTGCAATGAAACCTTTCTATAAAGTCTGGGCGGGATGGCTGGGAGCCTACCTACTCAAACAAACAAACAGTTACTGGTTCTGGGATTCAGTGTTACAGGGTGCAGGGAGGGAGGCAGTACCAAAGAAGAGAGTACCATTTCAGTAACTTGTTTCCTCCAGAGGGTAACACTGAGGGGTTGGCCGGATGGCTCAGTGGTTAAAGAGCACATGCTGCCATTGCAGAGGAACCCAGCTCGGCTCCCAGCACTGGAGTCAGGGGGCTCACACCCAATCTGTAATTCCGGCTCTGGAGGACCCAAAGTGCTCTTCTGGCTCTCACAGGCACCACATGCACAAACCCTTGCACAGACAGCACACATAAGTTCACATAAAAAAGAATGCGTCTTTTTTAAAGAGTGATATTGGGTACAGTGGTGCACAGGCATCCCATCAGCCATGCCCATCAGCCACGCCCATCAGCCATCCTGCCTTCTATCTCTCTCAGCCTGGGAGGAGCTGAGGACAGGAAGCTGGCTCTAGCCACCTTGCCAAGCCCAGAGCAAAGCAGGGTTCGGGGCCATGCTTCAGGTTCCCCAAGATCTGACGGACTCAGGACTGGGGTACCACAGCCAGCTGCTGCCCCCCCCCCGTCAGCCACGGCGGCTGCTAACAGGGCACTGGGCTGGGGGGCACTGGACTGGGGGACACTGGGCTGGGGGGCACTGGGCTGGGGGACACTGGGCTGGGGGCACTGGGCTGGGGGCACTGGGCTGGGGGCACTGGGTTGGGGGGCACTGGGCTGGGGGCACTGGGTTGGGGGGCACTGGGCTGGGGGGCACTGGGCTGGGGACACTGGACTGGGGGCACTGGGTTGGGGGGCACTGGGTTGGGGGGCACTGGGCTGGGGGGCACTGAGCTGGGGACAGTGGGCTGGGGGACAGTGGCCTGGGGGGCAGACACGCTCTACCCCAGCGTGTTTCCCTGCAGGAGCGGACAAGGCCTGCTCTTGCAGAAGAACCACCTTCCCCCAACATGGCACACACTTTAATCCTCCTCACCGCGCTGTTTTATCGTCTGTAACCCCGCTAAATGTTTGCTCGGGCGGTAGGGAAGCTCACCAGTGCCACATCTGGCTTTCGGTCAACGTTTTTCTTTAGGAATTGGGACCCGACACTCCGTTTTGCTTTCGAGTGACCCAGGCGGGCTCCCTGGTCTGCCTTTTCTTTCTCTTTGCATTATATCAGCTCTATAGGAAGCCAGTTAGCATGGCGGTCACCCCACCCAAACCTGCTGGGGCCTTTTCTGCCTTGGGAGGATCATGGCCCGGTTTGGAACTCAGCGAAGCCACTAATGGCTCGATACCAGTCCCGAAGGACCCAATGAATTAAATTCCTTTTTAAAATGACATTGATTTCTTTATGCGTGTGTGCACGTGTGCTCATGGCATAGTGTGTGTGCGCGTGTGTACAGTGTATGCGTGTGCGTGTGCACGTATGCCCACGTGCGCATGGCATAGTGTATGCGTGTGCTCGGACTTGTGCGTGTGTGTGAGCGCACCCACAGGGCGGGTGTATGCGTGTGTATGTGTGTGTATAGTGTATTCGTGTGCGCGCTCTTGTGCGTGTGTGTGAGCGCACCC